CTGACTAGATGCAACATAAATCAAAAGTTACTAACAGAATTATTTACAAGCACTTCACAAGTCGAGTTTCTCAGGAGGTTTAACGAGTCGTCCCGATCTGGTTTGGAGTGCGTTTTTGTGATTGGCGGGTTTGTCGCTGACTTGAGGTGTAGCAGCATTTTCTATGGTAGGCTCACTGGGACTGCTGTCTTTCATGGGAATGTCCTGCTCGACCGGTTCGTCCTGAGGGTGTTCGCTTGATTTGTGGAGGTGAACCCGATTTCTGCGATAAAGTCTTCCTTTGCTTTTCACTACATAAGATCTTGGTTTGTCCGTTTTCTCTACGACAATTCCTGGGGATAAGGACTTTGAACCAGGCGTTTCCATTCTGACTGTTGTTCCATTGTCTAGGGGTGATAACTCCTTCACATTTCTTCTCCTGTCATAGTAAAATTTCTGCTTGGCTTTCTGGACATTAAGGTGTTGCTGTACTTTTCTTAGGTCGTGTGTTGCTGGTTTAAGTAGATCTTGTGATGCTGGAAGGGTGTTCCTAGGTCTGCGTCCCATTAACAGTTGAGCTGGTGACAGATTAATGTTTTCTAGTGGAGTTGTTCTGTAATCTAGCAGAGCAAGTTGCTTGTCGTCACACTTAGTCCATAGGTTCTTTATAGTTTGTACTGCTCTCTCAGCCTCGCCATTCGAGCTTTGAAAATGAGGGCTGCTTCTTTCCTGTTCAATTCCAAGCTCTGCGCAAAAGGTTTTGAAGGTAGCTGAGCTGAATTGTGGTCCATTGTCAGACCTGAGTTTTCCTGGAAGTCCATGGCATGCGAAAACTGTTTTCATGGCTTCTATTATGGCTGTAGTTGTCTCTGATCTGAGTTCTACGGCATCAATGTATTTTGAGTAGTAGTCCACCAGAATCAGGTATTTCTTGCCTCTGAATTCAAATACATCAGTTCCCACATGAGTGTATGGTAGATCTGGAGTTGGTGTTGGCATTAGAGGCTCTCTGTTTTGCTGTTTCTGATACTCTGCACAAGATGGACAGTTGCTTACGGCCTGTTCTATGTCAGCATTCATGGCTGGCCAATACATGACCTCTCTGGCGCGACTCCTTGACTTGACTATCCCAAGGTGAGACTTGTGTACAAGGTTAAGCATCTCTTTCCGCAAGCTAGGTGGGATGACTATTCGACTTCCCTTGTACACAATGCTGTCAAGAACGGATAACTGATCCCTTGAATCGAAGTACTGTCTGACCTCAAAAGGAGATTCGTTCTTTGTGTCTGGCCATCCTGTTTGAATGGTGCTCATGAGAGTTTCAAGTTCACTTCTGGTTGATCTCTGGATTTCTGAGTATTTCCCGGGTGTTATGGATAACATACAGATCATGTCCGCTTTCTCTGTGTCCTCTTCACCGCTTTCCTCTAGGTAGGCCCGATATAGCGTGTCTGAAATGTACATCATAGTTCCCTTCCTGTATTTGACATTGATGTCGTATCACTGTAGTTTTATCATCATCTTTTGAATCCTCATAGGAGCTGACAGTAAGGGTTTGTTGAACAAAGTCTCTAACGGCTTATGATCACTGTACACTGTGACCTCCTTGCCAAAAATGTAGTTGTGAAATTTCTGACAACTGTACACTATAGCTTGCATTTCCTTCTTAATTTGTGCGTACCTTTTCTCTGTTTCTGTAAGAGCTCTAGAACCATAAGCTACTGCACGGCCTTCCTGTATCAAGACTGCTCCAAGTCCATCTTTACTTGAATCGCACTCGATCTCGACCGGTTTATTCACGTCAAATAGAGCTAATACTGGTGGCTTGGTACACACGTCCTTAAGTTTCTGAAAACTTTCATCCTGTTCATGGTTCCATTGGAATTCCACATCAGACTTGAGAAGGATTCTCAGTGGAGCGTCCAAATCACTCAAGTTTGGAATGAATTTCGACAAGTACTGTATGAGTCCAAGGAACCTGCGGACACCTTCCTTGTCATGTGGAGCGGGCATGTTAAGTATAGCCTTGATTTTGTCTGGGTCTGGTTTGAGTCCCTGGTCCGACACTATATGGCCCATGTATGGCACACTAGACTTACGAATTTTGCATTTTTCAAAGTTCAATTTCAGATTGTAGTCTGTTGCCCGTTCCACAACTTTTCTAAGTATGGCATCATGTTCCTCGAGTGTTTCACCTGCGATGAGGATGTCATCTATGATGGCAGACGCACCTTTGATTCCGGATATCATGTTGTCCATGATCTTCTGATAGATTTCTGGTGCCGATTTTATGCCAAAGGGTAGTCGGAGCCAACGATATCTTCCTATCGGTGTGTTAAATGTTGTCAGGTACGATGACTTCTCGTCGAGCTGAATCTGCAAAAATCCAGATTTGGCATCCAATACTGAGAATATCTTGGCTTTCGGTATGTCTGATATGACATCGTCAATAGTTTTCATAGGGTGATGCTCACGTTTTATGGCGCGATTTAAATCCCTTGGATCTATGCAGATGCGTATCTTTTCTCCCTTTACACTCACTACCATTGAGCTGACCCACTCTGTTGGCCTGTCCACTTTCGTGATATATCCATTAGCTTCCATCTCTCTCAGCTTGTCAACTGCCCTGGGCTTAATTGCTGCTGGGAGTTTCCTTACGGGATGAATAACTGCAGGTACAGATTCATCTATACTGAGATGGTATTCTCCGGGTAGTGTTCCTGTAGTTTCTACGAGTTCTGGATAGTCTCTGGATAGTTCACTTTGTGCACTTTCTGTAGTCTCCGTCACAGCTGATATCGAAGTCTGCAGATGGGGGTCGGTTTTGTATATTAACCCAAGAGTAACTGCAGTATCCCCACTAATGATATTCTCTTGATCCAAGTCGACCACTTCAAAGTGAACGTTAGTTTTATGATCACGGTAAACAACTGGAAGAGTTACTGATCCTATTGGTTTGATCTTGTGGTTGCTGAATGACTTAAGAGTCTTGTTGGAACTCTCCAGTGTGCATCCTCCCAAGTTTCTAATTTGAGCAGATGTGAGTATATTAGTCCGTGCTCCTGTGTCTATCCTGCAGCGAATCTGCTGACCTTTGATGCCAAGACGAACGTCCCAGTTGTCATCCTGACTGGACTTGACGGAAGTACACATACTAATGGTAAGTAGTTCCTCTTCCTCTGACTCTGTATCTCGCTGTACCGTGCTGACTTTGATCTGTTTCAGCCGCCGCCGACACACTTTCTTCCAGTGGTTTCGTTGTTTACAGTAACTGCAAATGGTTCCTAGTGCTGGGCACTTTCCACGTTCATGTTCCAAACCGCAACTTGAACAATTTGGGTTGTCACTTGGTTTATAGGCTTTTGGTTTCCCAGTTTTAACAGTTTTGTTGCGCGACACATTGAATTTGGTTGTGTGTTTCTTTTGTGAATGAGAGTCAATTTTCAACACTTCCTCTCCTCTCATTAATTTGACTTGTGCTTGTGACAGTTCAAATTGTTGTCCAATTTCTATAGCTTTCTTGAGTGTGATATCCTGACCTTGTTCTAACAGTCTCTCTTGCACTTTCTTATGCCTGACGCCACTAATGATTAAGTCAATCAAAACATCATTATTATCAGCGTAATCACAGTCCATGGCTAAGATTTTGAGATCCTTAACAAAATTATCAAAAGTTTCGGCCTCTTTTTGTGTTCTTTGGTGAAGTCTGAATCTTGCCATTCGCTTGTTTTTCTTGGGGCGAACATAATTTTCTAATTTCTCAAGAATTTTCTTTGGGTCGTCTTCATCGTCATTTTCAAACACAAAAGTCTTGTACACTTCCCTACCTTCTTGTCCAATCCACATGCCGATCGATCCTGCCTTATGTTTGGCATCGGATTTCGCTAGTGGCCCTTTGAAGATGAAACCCACGTGTTGCTTGAACCGACAAAATTCCTGGTACAGATCTCCGGCTTGCCAATCGAATCTGGGCTGATCGAACGGAAGAGTTGCCATTCCGAGTTCGAGTTACTTCTGACACCATGTAATATAATATCAACGGACACCGGTTTGGTGTATGAAACAGAATACTTTATTAAACACTGACAGTACAGTGGAGCATTCAGACATCTGACATGGCGGGTAATTTTTACAGAGATAGCAAGGGCAGATAACCCCAACTTCCGTTACATGTATTAGATATGTCGTACATAAACATACTATTGTACATTACAAGGGGCACTACTGATTATTGCTGAATATTAAGACATGAATCAAATTCAATCACTGGAAAATTGTTGCATAATACTCAGGTGACCTATAAGGCCCATGGGCCTCTTGTTGATTTTGTTTTCGTTCTGGTCGACTTTGTCTATATATCAGGCATACCGGGCTTCCCTCTCTTACCATGCTGTTTTGTTTATGAAATCTATACGCATGCGTGAATAGCATGGAATGTGGAACCTCGAACACGTTGCGATGTATATATTTATGACCAAAGATAATTATTAATTTTAATGAAAAAATCAGAATTATTTACTTATAAAATTTGTAAATTTCTGAAAGTGCATACATTTATGAGTATGAAAAAGTTCAAATCCTATTAGAAAATTTTAACAAGTCTTTTCTTTTTAAGAGATGCGCCGTATTGTTACTTTAATGTTTATTTAGATATTGGTATTGACTTTGAGGAAGAAACAGGCTCGTAGCAACAGAGGGCATCCCCCCCCCACCCCGACACTTTTTTCCTAACATTACTTTTTTCTATTGAGGATGTTTATTGAAAGGCAGGTTGAAACCCCCCCCCCCCCCAATTTTAGTACGGTAAAGTAATATAGGGAAATTTGATATGGTATACAAAAAATTGGTACTGAAAGTAGTTGGCATGTTTAAAAAGTTGCCCCCCCCCAACAAAATAGGATTATCGGGTTTGGCCAATTTTCCAGATAATTAAAAAAAATCTCTGGTTCCCCCCACCCACACTTTCAAAAACGATGCTACGTGCTGAGAAAGATAATAATTGTTTGAATTTCTTTAAATAGAAGACGAGGAAGGAGAAAACCAGATTACTGAACATAGAAAGACTGAAAATGATGTTCAAAAAAGTATCGCATATCATGAGACTGAAGATGTCGAAAATAGAAGAGTTGGTAATTCCGTGATTTGTTTGGGTTTGTAAAATTAATACTCTTGATGTTAAATAGTTTTTGTCATTCCCCACCCCTTTTTGTTGTACGTAAATTTCTTTAATAACAAATTCATCGAATCAAAGAACAAATCCCTCAATTTGCATATTCTGTTTCCAATTTTACGCGCCATTTTTTGTATGTTAATGGTGTGTAAATCACGCAGACTTGTCACGTAGACATATTTTATGAACATTTAGAAGTAACATAAAGCCATGATCTCACTTGGTCTGAACACATCAATAGTATATTGTACACAGTAGTTAAGATTAGGTTACATTAAGGTAAACAGGTACTCAGGTTTTAAAAATCATGCGTTAAAAAATTAAAAGCCCTTCTAAAAATGATTTGAATTTACCCACAGGAATTCGTCATTCTTCATCTTTAAAGTTAATCGTACTGTACAGGAAAACCAATGATTTGTCAGGGAATGCGAATAAAAACACATACCATGCATTTTCATGAAAATTGATCAACAAATACATTTAAGAAGAAAATACAAGGTATCCAGACTTTTGAAGAATATTGCATGATTGTTATACTTACCAGGTATACAGTACCTTAATTTCTTCTATTTACCTCGAGGATTTTATAATGCATAGTTTATAAAGCGTGTCCTATCATTGTAAAACATAATAAAACACTTCTAATACCATATCATCGTAATAAACATTGGTCTCTTCGGCTACCTGTCGTGAATGTAATTCGATTTCTTTATGTATTTTGAAAATTTTTTTGAGGAGAAATGTAAAAGCATGATTTTTATAAGACCGTTTCTAAGAACTTCTGAGTACACTGAATTATATTCAGACACCAATCTGATTAAAATCAGATCTTTGTTACGCTCCGACAATCTGATTTTAAGCAGATTGATTGAGACACATAAAATGCAATTTGTTGCAATAAAAGATTTAAATTTCAATTGCAAGATTCTTTTTGAGACTTTTTTGATTTAAATCAAAATTAAAGAGTTATCTAACCTGGATATGGATTAGAAGCTTAGTATCTTATCCGTAAACGAAGTATCTGTCTGTCTGTCTTTCTGTTTCTCTGTTTGTTCGCAAAACTTAACCTTGCCCATAACTTTTGATTTAGTAGAGCCAAGTAGTAAGGACGGACGTATACCCCCCCCCCCAACAATGGGAATCGATTGTGTTGGAGAACAATAGGAGAACAATGGGAGAGAACTATGGGGTGACCCTGACCGATATCTAGTTTACCATATGAGCCTGATGACCGTATCGGTTACTGTGAACGAGCACGGATATTTAAATGATGATGAAATGGGATGCAGGAGCACTTTCACGAATGGATGAACACAAGTATTTAATTGTCAAAATTGGGAGGGTTAGCAAGAGAAGGGCAACAAGTACTCAAAGACGTTGTCATAAAAAGAAATGTTGAGATTGCTCGCGCGCACCGCCGTGGCCGGAACACATGGACTCCGGCGACCGAAGCTACCGCGGAGACCGTGGACTCCAGAACGCGAAGACTCCGGAACTATTTTAGGTGATAACATTCCGGGAGAGAAAAATATTAGATAACAAAAGCATTTCTGAAGGAAAGATACAGAATGCATACTGTTCTTCAAAGAACGCAGATAGAACTCATATTTTTTTGTAACACCACCATATTGTGGAGGTGGTGGTGGTGGTAGCGGTGGTGGTGGAGAATGTAATGACAACACAAAACACTATGATTTTATGTGATTTTATTCAGACTTAATTTCAATATTCAACAATACAAAATAATGTACAAATATCATTAAAAAATACACGTGTTAGTTTATTTATCTTATTGACAGATGTGATAAAACTTTACATAGTGTTTGTCGAGAATACATGATATTGCATCTTAAAGAGGCACGTGATTTTCATTGATAAGAGAGAAAATTTCCTGGCGAATACTCCTCTGCAACGCACTTTTCATGAGGCAGGCAGACTGTTTTAATTGTTCTTTATAATTTTTCAAAAGTTAATCTCTGTCTTTCCCAGCACCCCTTTCATAGTCTTTTCCCTTGCTTCTTCCGTTGGAACTCCTTTTTGGACTAATTCGTAACACAGTCTTGGAATAAAGGGTCATGTTGTTTCCAGACGATGTTGATCACTATATCAAAGGCGACAGTATCGTCCTCATCATCTGTTTGATCGCTGCTGTCTGTGTCTTCCTCTGAGCCTTCTTCACAGGCACAGCCTTGTGCGGTGTCGTAAGCTGTAGCAAAAACTATACCACAATCAAGGCAGTTCTCACTTTGTTTGAATGAAACTTGGCTGAAATCGACAGGAGGCAATTTTTTTCAAGAAGATATTGATTTGTAATCTTTTGGATTCTGGTGTGGTTTATTTTAAATCTACGACAAGGGATCCAAGAGGCTTTTCATCAACGGCTCTTTGATAGGCATCTAACAATATGTTGAAATGTCCAGGATACATTTGACGAGCGAAGGTAGAGATTTGCAGTCTGTCTCGCGAATTTTTAAAAAGAACCAAATATTGAGTGTTCAGGTTCATTGTCCTATTTTCTTTTCCACTGTTGAATAGGTTCTGTATGATGCAAACTATGCTCATGTTTCTGTGGTGGGCGCCCTACACGAATATTTCTTATATGTCTTTATTTGTAGTGGAATATTTCATGGAATCGTCGATGATTAAAAGTGTATTTTCGTCGGGGTTTTAAAAATCGTCACTGTCAAGGTCGGCCGGTAGTACTTTGATGAACTCAAGGATATGTATTTGTCTCTTAAGGTCCTCATACAAGGGCTGCCATCTTTTATACAGCCAAATGATTCGGTCAGGAGAGGGAGAGATGAAATTCTGTCTTTGAAATAAAAGTTCTTTCATCCATGCTGACTTTCCCGAAATCGTAGGACCGAAATGACCATAGTAAATGGATGCTGAAATTTACATTGGTTGTGACCGCCATCGAAATGAATGCCTCGTCGGTGTGGATGTTGCCATTTTTGAGCGGTTCTATATATTGTGTCGTCTTAGGGCATCTGCGCGTGAAATATTTTTATGCCAGATATTGCATGCCATTCTTCGTGAAAATGACGGCTTCACCGATTTACGTCTTATTTTATTATAACATTCGAACCCTCTTTGCAGGTGGCCCGTTACCGGTGTCCTTGATCACTCTCTTCAGCGGCATATGTGGTCTTCCTTCTGTGACGGTCTCTTTCAGCACAATAGAATTTGCTCTCTCTACTGCTGCCTGTGCCGGGGAAAATCGCTTGTACAGCTGTTTAAAATTTTTATTTATTTTAAACGTTTTAACCGCTTTGCGACCATGTCTTGGCTTCCTTGAATGATGTGTACGTCTTTCGTCGCCCACTCTCTACGGTCTGAGATGTAAATTTTCTTTTAGTAACTTTTTTTATTCATGATGTGAACTGGAAACACGAATGACGGACGCGTCTAAACGAATATCTTTTTAAGTAGAAGAATACGATTGATTACCTGTGGCTGACAATCGAAAATTCAGAGTAAGTACGACCTCCTCGTTCAAAAATGTAACAGGTTTATTGTCCTTATCTCTAATTTCTATGCGAATTTTTTCAAACTCCTGGATTTGCAGTGGCACTAGGTATGGTCTCGTGAAGATTTGTTAGACTGCAAAACAATATGCCTCAATAATTATCTGTACTGTTGGCTCACCACGGACACTGTGTCACAGACGTCGCAAAAGATAAAGAGCTCTTTCTTTGTGGTTTTGGCAATGCCCTTGACATAGAATTTATTAGTTCTACAGTCCATTGGTCCGTAAACAACAACCATTTTGGTAATATGACCGTAAAATCGTATAGTTGATCGCCTGGGAACACATCTTTGCTTTTGGAAGATCTGAGAATGTATGTTGTTGCCATTCTCTGCAGTAATGAAAGGATTTGAGAGTACAGGGTTATTATATGCTATGTCCTAAAAACCCACAACTTAAAACAAGTCTGCGCAATTCGATCAAAAATTTACGATTTATCAACAAAAATGGTTCCGAAGTACGCGGGTTTCGGGGTCTACGGAGTCCTAGGTTTCCGGTAGCATTGGTCTCCGAATCCACGTGTTCCGGCCGGCAGCGGTGCGCGCGAGCAATCTCAATATTTCTTTTTATGCCTCCCATTTTTGACAATTAAATACTTGTGTTCATCCATTCGTGAAAGTGCTCCTGTATCCCATTTCATCATCATTTAGATACCCGTGCTCATTCACAGTAACCGATTCAGTCATCAGTGTCATGTAGTAAACGAGATCTCGGTCAGGGTCACCCCGTTATTCTCCCCCATTCTTCTCCGACACAATAAATTCCCATTGTTTAGGGGGGATACGTCAGCCCTTACTACTGAGCTATGACTTTCATATTTAATATGTGTATTCTTTGTGACAAGACCTTTCTTGGGGTACCACCAAATTTGATCTTTTGACCTTAACCTTGGAGTTTGACCCACTTTTACAAAAATTCCAAAGTTTTACTTTGGCCATATCTTTTGAACAGTAGATACATGTACTAGGGCATTTATACTTCACATATGCATTCTTTGTGGTAAGGCCTTCCATTCTTTACCACCAACCTTGACCTTTTGACCTTGACCTTGGAGATTTTTGTACTTATGTAAAAACTTTAATTTTGGTCATAACTTTTGAACAGTAAGAGATAGGGCTTTAATACCTCACATATGTAATCCTTGTGACTAGAACTTTCATTTGATACCAAAAAATTTTACCCTTTGACCCTGACTTTGGAGTTTGACCTACTTTTGAAAGCAAACCTTGCCTTAACTTTTAAGGGGTTAAATATAGTGCTTTTATACTTTACATTTTTAATCCTTGTGACCTTTCATTTGATACATGTATCAAGAACTTTTACCTTGACTTTGCAGTTCGTCCTATTTTGTTTTCAAATTTTTAACCTTGCCCATAACTTTTGAAGGTTTAGGGCTAGGGCTTTCATACTTCACATAAATATACTTTGTGGCAAGACCTTTCATGGGATACCAATTACATTGACCTTATAGTCTTGACATTGGGGATTTCCGTACTTATGAAAAAAACTTTAACCTTGACCTACTTTTATATTTCACAATTGTATTTCCAGTGAGAATACCCTACTTTGGGTACGAATGAATAAAATTTGCGTGCCATACGGGGGCATCAGTGTTTCACAAACATATCTTCTTTTTTTCAGAAACATCTAAAAACGATCCAATTATCATGGATCCTGGAATAGATGAAAATCTTCTTGATTTCAACTCTTTCTTCTACAAATTAGTTAAGAAAATAATACAAAAGGATTTGGCGCAAGATTTTTCCTTGCTCCTTCATGGTAATGATAACTCACAGTAAATTTCAGATATAAGGATTTCGATTATAAATTGAATTTAAACTTTTTAAAGAATCTTGATAAGAAACACATTTTTGAAGTCCCAGTGACATTTTGACCATGTAAAACCAAATTTGTTAAACAACGGTTTTCAATATTAATTGAATAATTTCATACCAAAATAACAAAATGTGAAATAAATCCGATTCATCTGTTTATTACAATGGTTATCATATTGCGAGTCTTTTCTAGTATATCTTAGAAAAAATTACATTTAGAAATTGAAGTTAAAATAACAATGCTAACAAACATTTTTTATAAAAATAAAAAAAAACGAATAAATTAGCATAGAATTGAGTTTTGCTACTCAAGTAAAAAAATTGTTCTAATGAAAAAAAAAAACAAGTTTATAGTTTTCCGATTTTATTTTATAGAGTTTAGTGGGAAAACAGTTAAAGTGAATATATATTGCTTAATAAATTTTGTTTCTTAAAAAAACCTGTGTTACGGAAAATGTTACTGTTATTGTTTTCAGTTAACACAACTAAGAACCTACATAAAACTTTATTTTATTGTTTGATTAGCTTTAGCATTTCTACGCCTCTTGATTTGATGGGGACTATTTATCTTGAATTTTATTGCATTGGCCATTGTTGAATATTTTAATTTTTCAATTAACAATTCCATGTATTTTAGACCCCACAGAAGAGAACACTGTACCTTCAAAAAAGCAATTTATGCAATGGAACGAAAAATACAAATTCCACAGCAATATTTGGCGTTTACAACTATTATTGAAGCAATGCAGTGCCAATGATCTGGTTGAAGATTGCTTTGAATTTGCAAAGAGTAGTCCTTTGATTCTAACTTATTTCGATAGCGCTCCCGTTCAAGGTATTTTTTATTACTATATGAAAAAAAATAATGTTTTTTAACAATTAACTGAAAGTCTCTTAATTTTTTTTTACTGAATTAATAATTTGAAAAAGTCAATATTGATACAGCTATTTTTGCAATCAAATAAAACGAATGTTATTATGATCATTTTGATTTGATTTAAAGCACAACGCAAAAACACGCAATCTTAATCATTCTCTCCATTTCAGATGATAACAGGGAATTAATAAAGATTTATACAACTATGGATATCTCACAAGAAACTGTGTTTTGTGACTTGAAGAGAATTCGTCGCTTATTAGCGCATCGCCTTGATTTGCCTGAAAGCGAGATTGAACTTCATAGCATTAAGAAAGGATCATTAATATTTGAATTTTCTGTTCCTAAAGACAGTGTAAAAAAATTCAGATATGAAGATTTGTTAAGCATTTGGCCACTTAAGGTTTTTAAAGTAAAAACATCGGTTTGGAGTATGAGACCGGGTAAGACATCTGAGCCTGAGTACAGTTGGTTGACAAGTTCTGAATAAGAAACCGATTCGGCGGTGCTTTAAATAAACGAGGCATTATTTCACTAGGTTTTTTGTCAAGGTAGTTCAATGACTTGTTGAGTTTAATATTGTTTCATAAAAGTTCAGCCCCCCCCCCCCCCCCCCCCAAAAAAAAATATTTAGCAAGTTAACATAGGTATTCATTTTACTTGTTATAAATGAGCCGACGAGTTCCGAATACCTTAGCGGTTCCCATTTAGTTCAATCCTAAATTTAAAAAAAATATACGTCCCACACATTATCCACTGGCATGCCCAAGAAAAGTTAAATTTATTGTTTACCAATAAGTTATTTGTTTTTCCAAAGGATAAAGAGAAACTATAGATACAATGTGCACTGTGCTCACTTTAATGATACCTTACGTCTCCTATATGATTCGTATGACAAAGTCATTAAAGCTTTGCTCTGGGAGAGCCGAAATAAGTGTTATATCAAAAAGTAAAGTAAGGGGTCACAATGGTGTGTAATAAAAAATCTGTAAAAGTATCTTAAAATCTTATTCAATGGCAGTATCCATGTTTTGCTAAGGTGCACTATTTTTATTTAAAACAAAGATTATGTGAAAGCCTCATTCAATTCTGTGAAACCTCTTAAATTTCATTCAGTGGTAGAAGAGGAGTTTCGGATAAGAAATGGGAACTACTAAGTATATCAGACGGACGTACAGACAGACGGATGGATGGACAAACATTCCATCGCTATATACCCCTTCCCCCTGCTTTTAAAGCTGGGACATAATAAGTCATATTTACAATGAAGAAATAACGAAGAATGAATTTATAATACTAGTAGTGTTTATGATGGACATTATGAACTAGCTGAATGACCACACGAAAATATTCCGATATATTTCAGTGTTCTAAATAAATATAATAGACAAGTTTTTAGTATTAGAGTACATATCAAACTAACTTTTGATACTTGGAATGTTGTTTTATCTGGAAAAAATTGACGTCTCTACAGAGGCTTTTCTGCAGACTCACGCGTCGCGGTGATTCAGATTTGTTGCATTGTAAAAGTGTGTCGACTGTTTTAAGTTCGATAGCGAAACCAAACTGACGGCAAAAAATTAAAACTTCCCATAATTCAAATACTCAGAAATAAGCCTTCTTACCATTGGGTATCAATTTATTTTTACACCTTTGAATTTATTAATTATCAGCTCTAAAATTAATAATTACTCGGAACTGGTCAAAATTCGGAACTGGCCAAACAACTGTACTTCATATTTGAAATTAAATAATGTTTCCAAAATGGGACGAGGGCGATGCTTCGAGTTACATAGTTTAATGTTCATGCAATTTTTTTTTAAGTTAAGATAATACAATCAATGTTTAGATAATATAGTAAGTGTTGCGATTTCTAGAAGTGTGTTGAGAGCATATATACAGAAGAGAATATTTTAGTTATTATTTTCGCAGTGCTACTTCTAACTTTTCTTTTCTTTGTAATGCTTTTCTTTAGGTCGGATGAAATGGAAATGCAATTTAAACATTCATGCTATACTACATCGTAGCAGAATTCAAGACGGGGTGCCAGTGCAAGTTTTCGCCCAGGCAATAAAAAGAGAACTTATAAGGAACTTCGATCTGAAAATTTACGTACATAAGACAAAATGCATGGTTTGGAGACAGCCAAGTGCACACTGTAACTATTTAGCTGAAATGTTAATGTTATCAATGGACAAATTTACCTATGCGTAATTTGTATTCGACAATAATGAAAAAAATAGGTATCTACGAGGGGTGATCAAAACGTTTGGGAACTATCTTTATATCTATAAAACTAGAATTCAGATTAAAATAAAATTTGGTACACACATAGCCATACATAAGTTCTATAAATAGTATAAGCTGAATAAAGTTTTGTTCCTTGCTTGTGACGTCACGATGTGAAAATGGCGTCACTATCTAGATCACTAGATGACAAAAAAATGGTTGTCTCAGTCCTCGTTTTACGAAGGACTGTAAAATGTATGGTATATCTAAGAAATTCCTTATAAGCGTATAATAATTTGTACACAGTTTATTAAGATAAAAAGACTTCCTAGAAATTCACCCAATGGTTGGATTGGTCGTTTTAGTGAAGGATGGGAGATGGTCAAAGTGATATTTGTTCTGTCACCCTGTGAAAGCAACTTTGAAAATTGATTGATCACTTTGTTATGAAAAGACCTCCAATTTACAATTTGATAAAAAGTTGAATATCTTAACAATAATAATTAATTATTCAATACCTAAGATATCATTAACTTAGATTTCAAACATATTAGATATGATAAAAAGGAGGCACCCATTCTCTATCCATCTTGAATAAATGACTCTCCCGAGACAGAAGATTTGGGTTTTGATCGATAGTCACACTCGTCATTTTGGGAAAAGATATTTTTATCCACCCATTCTGTTGCCAAGATTTAATCATTTCTGAAAAACGGACTGTTCTTGTTATGAAAATTAACCTGCATGGAAAGAAATATAAAATCCAGAAAAACCCGTCAGCTTTTATGGCAGAACGCTACGGAGCAGGTCACGTGACATCCTATATCACGGAATTCGCGCACAAGCAAAACGATGGCAGAGGTGCATTAAAATCGGAGAGGACTAGTTTAAAATATAATCAACATTGAAACAAAATATTGTTTCTTTTATGGAATTAATTCAATTTGTGTGCGAACTTTTAGATCACCTCTCGTATTAACTTTACAAATACATACACTTTTTTGAACATTTTTTGTTTCCTTTTTTCAAAAGATATGACATCAAGTGAAGATACACCAATACCATCTGAAAAGGAGATATTAGAAAACATGGAGCCTAGTATGATTAAAGAAAGGCTTAAACGTTGTTTTCCTGAGTTTAGAAGAGAAATAGAGGACCTCTTTAGTCCTACAAATCATCGAAAACAGACTGCAAAGGCTATTCTAAAGTTTCTAAGAGAAAAGAAAGGAAAACCGTTTAAGGAAACCTTGAACTTTGTGATAAATTTGTACAGAAGCAAGGAAACTCCTATTTGTGAAACTGAAGACAGATTTGATTCATCAGTGGGTAAGGAAATTGGTAATAACTAACAATAGACATCCTCGTACTTTAAAGAAATAATGCAAGATCTTTTGTAATTTTTCTCATTTTCCAGATTTACTTCAGAACATTGAATGTTTGTTAGATGAGATTGATTCTAGCATCATCAATGAGACTTTTGAGGAAATTGGAGATGTGCCTTCCGATGTAGTGCAAAAATGTAGTCCAGGATCGGGAAGGAAAAGAAAAGAGAGGGCAAAAACATTCTATGATTTTGTCAATCGAAATAAATATCATTTTCAAATTTTCAAAAGAATTTTGCAAAGTAATGCTGATTTTTAACGGAGGGATTGAAAACTCTGCAAGTGTGGGGTGCTATTTGCACTTAATTTTTGTATGTATGTATTATTTACTCTAACATTGATATATCTGTTGAAAACTGTCTAATTGTTTACTTATTTAATATTGTCTTTTATTAATTTTCAATCTGAAGTTGCACTTCAGATTACAGTTTTTCAATATACTTGTTAAGTTTTACTTAGCTTTACTTATACTTGTTTTCGAGTTATGGACTTAGACTTGGGCAGCTTCTCAACCCAATGGATTTATCCGTTTGTTGAGGCTATATGAATTAAAAGAAGGCAGGAATAAGTTAACGTCCGGCTGGTTTTATTCAATGATGAAAAGTGACCAAAGTCAAGTTATAAAACAAAGCTATAAAGAGCGACTCAAGGCCTTACAAATTTACCAATGTAATTAAAATGTAATTCCATAAAACGTACTAATTAATTAAACATGTAAAGTTATTTTAATTTATAAAAAGAAGTAAAGTAACAATCGTAAATCAGTATCTTAATTAAAACAAACCAAAAATAAAACATTGTTTTAAAATGACATGACATAACTTTTTTTTTTATGTATTAACAATAAGGTTGGGATCGGAGACGCGGGAGCGATTACGTAATAGATAGAACTGAAAAACATGGCAAATTCTACTTTACCTGGCATTACTTCAAAATGTGAAAACATGCGTAAATGCTTAAAAGCTTTCGAGACTATAAATGCCATTATTATATAATAAATCACTAATAACATAGCGGAGATCATCTCACACGTTTCCTAACAACATTGAAAGTAAGTCTGTTCAGTCTAACAATAATTTGCATTGCGATCCCGATCCCATTCAAAATAAAAATTACAAAGTTTACTGTGCAACCTAAGAACTATTATCCTACATACCTTTAATCTGTAAACAAGTTTGCATTAGATACGCGTAACAAAGTAACTAAGTACACTATAATGATTTCTAACTAATTAAGACACAGACAAAAATAAACAATGACCAAAATTTAATAAAATTTAGTAAATAAAACTTTTAAATAAATTCTTTAACTGAATGAACCTTACTTTAAAAATTTGGTTAATTACAATGACTTTAAAAGGTTATTACCTAAGTAAAAAAATAAAAATATATTTACCTATATGAATTAAAAGAAGGCAGGAATAAGTTAACGTCCGGCTGGTTTTATTCAATGATGAAAAGTGACCAGCCGGGACGCGCAACCTGCTTAACTCAAAAATCTGAGATATTCTTTTTTGACCAATCAAAAATGATTTAGGAGATAATGGTTGACGAAAAAAACTACATTACAAAGGATCACTTGGTCATTGCGTGTCAACTTAATCTATAGGTCTTTGTGACGCAACTAATTAAACAACACTTGGCCAGGTAAATAATTCTAGGAACTTTGTTAATCCGTTAACAAAGAATTTATCACTCATGGACTACATCAAATGGATGCTATAAAAACATTTACAACAAAATTACCCCAAAAAGGTTTGCGAAGCCCTCGCTAGAAAAACTTTTTATCAATCAAACAAAGAAACCTTAATTTTGGCATTTCCGATAAAGTAAAGTTGACATGTGCAATAAATAACATGACACTTCAGAGTAATCAGACAAAATCTAAAATAAAATATATATAAAAATTCTGAAACATATATTCTTAGCATAAAAATCAATTTAACATCAATTTTTTTAATAATTAATTTTACTTAAATGTTTGACATAATATCAGTAATTTATGAAATATTTAAAAAAAAAATAAAAATTAAAAGTTTTGAATTTTTAAAATTAATTACATATTTCAGAGATTAATAAGTATATTGAAAAACTGTAAGTTTTTCTCCATGACAATATTATTGATATCTATTTGATGATACCAATTGAATATCTATTCCTATTATTAGAACTAGGGTGCAAAATGTGGTTTTACATCCTCCAAAATTTAATTTTAATTTACTCTGATAAATAATTTACTAAACCTTCTATCTATAAAGTCATAAAGAGAGAGTAACATGGACCATGCCAAAAATATCATTATGTAGAGAACTATATTTTTACATACATCATTACAATGCAATTTTTAGACGTTGATTTTATTTTTATTTTGTATTATTTTCCTATAAAAAACAAAATTATGGGGAGGAATTTCTTTACTATTTTAATGAGGAATTGGGAGAGATTTGATGCATTGTAATTTGATATAAATGTATGTCAAAGGAGTGTATGTCGAAAAAAACAGGTTGGTAGATATTTTATGATGTTATATTTTAAGTATTTCTTAGAAATGTAGCGAAGGAGTTTAGTTGAAAGAGTTGTTACAGGAGAGGAGAAATGGTGATAAATAAAAACAGACTACTTTTGTGAGAATTACATATATGTACAGTTATTATAAATGAACAAATTGTACATATTTAGATATACAATCGATTGTTTTTCACTTAAACAATTATTCGATAATGTAAAAAGTATCAATTAAGAACTGGTGTATTGCTTTTTAAAAAAATGTATTTTTGATTATTTTCAGCTCTAGGCTAGAAGAGATTATGCGATGATAAAGTTTTTGTAGTCTGTTTATTGTTGTACGAGGGCCGTTCAAAAATTACGCGGACTTGTTGCACAGAAGAAATATTTGACGACATAATCGGGCAAAATTTCACAAATAATATAAAAGAATTTTTACTTATATGGTCTTCAAAATTTCATATCAAAATGTTGTAAATTGGTATTAATTTTGAGTGATTTTTCAGGACAAACCATTAAGTCACTGCGCAGCAAAATCTTCGACGTCACAAGCATTATAAAAAATATGCGATCGAGCTTTCATTTTCTAAACATTTTCCCTTGAGTACCTGTATAGTTTGAGTTACCTTATCTACTCAACATCAAAACACCATTTCTTGTCAAGCTTAAAATCTATTAAACAAGTAAAATATATTCTTTTTTGTTTTAAAACCAAAAACTACTTATGAGATATAGTGTGATATTGGTGACTTTCAGACTCGTTCTTTACAGTCCGGATAAAGTTAACTTTTCGTCTATAATCTTCCTCCCATCCTCCCGTATAGCCTTTTTACAGAGGTCTAACTGTCTAAAATTTCGATTTGATATTTGTGGGCGAATGTCAAGAGTAGCCTAGTTAACTAAATGTTTTATTATGCATATTTTGGATCTATGTTGCCGATATCTCGAGCATTACACATATTTTAAAAGTGTGGTGCGCCGTCAATTCAGGAGACGTCATTTTCACAGTCGTTTTCACGGGAATCGCATCAGAGAAAAATCACATTAGACATTTGTTCTTGAGGAGCCATGACATCGCCACAATCAACATCAAATTTACTTATAAATATGATATTTTGTATCTGTAAACTTCCTTTGTAGAAGCGTAAACAAAGTTTTAACAAATTCCAAAATTTATTGAGAAATTTTTGTTCTTAGGAAAATAGAAACATTTTCAGTCGAAATTTAAACAAGAGGCCCACGGGTCACATCGCTCACCTGAGCTAGGAAAAAGCACATATCAGATCCGAATTGAAAAGTTTAATGAGGGGGTGGGGGTAGGTTGGTATGGGGCTTGAATTCTAATACTACCCGAGAATGCCTCCATATCAATACTGCATATACATAACTTCTTGAGAAAATTCTTGAGAAATTTTTTTAAAAAACATTTTGTTTGTATAATATTTTTTTATGTCTGTAAAAGCAAAGCCAAGCATTATACACAGTTAATTGTAGTTTTTTTTAGAAAAATAAGCTACTATAGCTAATAATGAAGACTTGTACAGTGTAGCTAATGCCTAATTAGAGCGGGTTAAAAACACAGAGCCTTTAAAGAGACATGCAGCGTGACTAACAAAGGGGAAAAATTGATGAAAGTATAATTTTTGCAATGACCCGTGTAAATTTTGTTCAGTTCCTAAAAGTATTAGGTTTCAGAAAATTACAGGTTTCAGAACCTAAAAATCTAATTTTAAGGAGAAAAATAAAAGTTGATAAATATTTAAGTATGCCCTATAACTAAAATATTTGCTTTGTACTCCTTCCTCCATATTGTATTGTGCGCGTGCGTGGAATAAGTTTCCATAATTACTATGGTCTCAAGTACCCAAGAATGGATGTACATTGACCAAAATTATTATGCAATCTTTTTAAAAAGTTGTTAAAAATATTTCTCACCTTTGCATGCTCCAGTAGAGTGTTGTTTACAAGTTTGAGCTAAAAATAAAAGTGGCGTGACCTTGACATACACGAAAACAACGAAACGGTAGATACAACCATTGTTTTTCCGGTGTAACGTTGATATTTGACCCGGGTTGAAAATTGACCCAAGGGGTCATTTTTCAACGTTGAATACTGAGACCAACAATGTTGAATTTAGACCCTTGTCCGTTGAAAACTGAGCCGAGTCGTGGAATTTTGATCATGAAACTGGTTCTAAATTCAACAGCATAAAAACACATATTTATGACTTGTTTTCTCCATCTGCGTCGGGATCGGGGGGGGGGGTTTAGGGGTAGGGATGCTAAGCCCCCCTCCCCTTTAGAAATTTGAAATCACCATTTTTTTTTCAAAAGTCAGTAACATCAAAACGTACAACTTTTGTTTGCTCTAAACAAGCATTCCTCATGAAAAATTCAAAACTATACATTTTTACATTATAGACAACTTCTGTCTCAATAAAAACGAAGTTCCTTATTGACACCGTTTTGCAGTCTTCGGAGACCAAGACTTCCTTCCAAACTTGCTCGTTTATTGGCCGACCTGTTTTTAACATATCTATGAGCAGAATCTACGGAAGCCCAATAGTGCAAACCAAAAATAAATAAAGAAAAACAAAATTATTAAATAAAGAAAAGCGAAATTATTACATAAAGAAAAACGCAATTATTAAACAAGCAAAACTAAATTTTTAAGTAAAGACAAACGAAATTATTAAATAAAGGAAAACGACATTATTAAAAAAGAAAACAAAATTATTCAATGAAGAAAAACGAAATTATTTAATAAAGAAAAGCGAAATTATTAATAGTATAAAAACAAAATTATTTAAATAAAGAAAACTTAGTTATTAAATAAAGAAAAACGAAATTATCAAATAAAGAAAAACGGCCTTGG